TTGAGGAACCAGAGGTGGTAGCCAAGTCCTGGAGGGAGGCTTGCTGGGGACATGGACAGTCCTGGAGAAGCCCACAGTGCAGGACAGCCTTCCTCACTTCTGGGCACCCAGTATCAGGGTGACGATGAGGCCCACGACCAGCACAAACATGCTGACGGACAGCAGCACTGTGATGACCACCATGCCCCCTGTTCGGGCCATTCCCAGCCCAATAGACTCCATATTCCTTCCTGGCAGAAAGGAGAAAAGAGGAGCATTTGTGGGAGGAGGGAGCCCCAGCCTCCCTAAGGCTGACGGCATCCAGCAGCCACCCATGTATGCAGCCCTTCATCCAACCAGCCAGTCACAGACCCAAGCACTCCTCAAGCCCACATTTATGAAGCACCTCCCATGTGAGTCGCTGAGGACCCAGAAGTTAGAAGGGACCTGTCCATAACCAGGAGCCTTTGGCTCAGTGGTAGGACAGAGGCAAGCAGAGGTGCTGAGGGGACGTGGTGGGCCAGGGGAGCAGCTAACCTGGACTGGAAGAGGAGGTGGGGGTTCAGGAAGGGAGGTCTGCGGACCCTGAGCTGTGAGCGGGAGGAGGAAGTGGTACTTACGAGGAAGCGTGGACATCGGGATCTCTCGGCTGGACTCAGTGGATGCCCCCTTCTGCACTCGATAGGAAATGCTTTCAGGGTGGGGTTTGGGAAACAGAAGCGTTGGTGAGTATCAGGGACTGGAGTGAAGAGGAGCTGGGAGACAGCTGCTTCTCCATCTGTGGCCTCCCCCAGGCTGTCTTCCCGCCTGTTGACCAACCCCCTCCCCGGCTTTCCTTCCTGCACCCTGACTGCACGGGTGCCCAGACCTGGGTCTAGTACCTACTAGTATCTGGTTCCGGGCGCGAGGTTTGTCACCTGGTACGCACTCAGCCTAGTGACTGTGAAGCCAGCCCCGCTGTCCGTCACGCTCACCAGCTCCCTGCGCCCTCGGCATGGAGGGACCACAAAGCTGGAGTTCACCACTGGGTGGGAGGTTGGAGTAAGAGTCAGGGTCAAGTTTCTGGAGGCCCCACAGAGAAGGGACAGCTGGAGGGGAGGGTGCAGGGAGGCACGGATGGGGGAAGGATGCTAGGGGTGTTCTGGGAAGGGGTCTCTGGGATGGGGAGATCCTTGGGGGAGGGAGTGGCAGACCTTTGCTGTCATTGGCTCTCCGGACCATCAGCGTGGCATTGCCTCCTGTAAGGTGACAAGGGGGCAAAGCAACTAGCAGGCTCTGTGCTAGTGCTGGGGACAGTAGACCAGACAGGCTTGAGATGTTGAATTCTGCTGGGAGGCCAGAAGGAAGTTCAGACAAGAATCACCCCACTCCCCAGCCATCAGATCTGGCCAAACTCCCCTGGAGCCATTGCTAAGAATGGAAGTTCCGTCTTTTCTCCCCTTTCCCTCTGCAGCCACGGGGCAGAACAGCCAGCCTGGTGTGAGTCTGGCCACCAGGTGGCAGGTTTGGACCGTGGAAGCTGACTACTCTCTGAGCTGCCCCAGACCCGGATCTGGATGCCAGGAGCCAGGCAAGAACCAGCCTCAATCCTCCCTGCAGTCTGGGACACTTCCCACACTTCTCTGCTATCTGGATCTGATGCCTGGTCATGTCATCCCTAGCCACCCCCCAGCCACATCAAGTCCCTCTGGGAGCCCTGGAAGGCACAGTGCCCCTATCTAGACCTCTGAACCCCTCCCCACTCCTGCTGGAAACAGAAGAGACCTGCAGCCCCAGGGGCCAGCATAGCCAGCAAAATCATCGTCAAGGGCAAGGTGTGGACAGGCAGCAGGGAAGTCATACTGGGCCGGGCCGGAACCTGGAACAGCTACTGGCAGGCTAGGGCTCTGGAGGCAAGTGACACCCTGCCCCCCGGGATAGCTGGTTTTGTCCTGGGGGTGGGAGGAGCTGGAGGAGAATCCAGTCAAACCTGCCCCAGGGGCCCCATAGCCTGAGGGAGGGGTCCCAGACAGGTTTTTCAAGACTGGGAGCTGGCCCTTAGCTGGAAGGGGGATGCTCTGTGTGGTCCTAGAGCCTTGGCTGGTGCAGAAGGGCAGGGGTAACTTATCCTTCTTCTGGGCCTCAGTGGGTGAGGCAGTGTCCTTGTGTGTGTGTGTGTGTGTGTGTGTGTGTTTGTGTCTGGACCTGGCCTAGTGGGGATTGCTTCCCCAAGTGATGGGGGCCTTCCTAGGAGACCTGTTGACTTCTGCTGCTTAACCTGTGGCATCCAGAGTGGTGGGTGTGACTGGCTCCTTTTTGTAGACACAAGAAATGGAGAGGTTGTAGAGACCTGTGCTCTACAGAGGGTGTTGCTGTAGGTTTTGTTGCTATCTTTTCCAGTTCCAAAGAATGACCAGGGTCCTAGTAAGAAAGTGGGGGGCAGGAGGGGTTATGTCCTTACCCAGCTGTGGGAGGGGTGGGCCCAAAGCCTAGAGCATGGCACTTGATGACCTTAAAGAGAACTCTCAGGCCAAGCAGAGGGTGGAAACATCTTGGGCCAGAGCTTCTCCAAATTTAATCTGTATATGAATCACCAGGAACCTTGTTAAGATGCAGATTCTGATTAGCTGGTTCTGAGCTAAGGCCTGAAATTCTGCATTTCTAGCAATCTTTCAGGCAACAGGGATGGAGCTGACCTGAAAGACCCACACCTGGAATTGCCAGAAAGTGGGTATTGGTGCCTCCTTGCCACATGTGCATGCACACACACACACACATACACACACACCCATCTCCGATGGAGGTCAGGGCCAACTGTTTCCCTGACTTTACTGCAATAGGCTACCTTTGGGTGGAGAATTGAATTCCATTTCTACTGTCCCTGGTCTTTTGTCCCTTTAGATCCTACCCTGTCCACACTGAAAGAGGATCTCTCCAACATGAATAAGAACATGGGAGACAGAGGAGACTAAATGGTGGAATGCAAGGGTGAGGGGCTTTTCTTGGGACTTTTCAAATCCAATCAGCCACTAGCAGGATGTTTCCACTTGGCCTTCCCATATCAGTCATAACCAGGAAGCAGAGGAGAAGAGCTTGGGTTTATTGCAGGGCAGGTTGCACTGGGTCCTCTCTTATCCCTCATCCCCATCTGAAATTAGGAGTGAGACAGAGTGGGGTAAGGAAGAGCAGATCTCTGACCAGAACTTAAAGGGTTTTTGAGGGTCCTGTGCCTTTAAGCCCTCCCTTCTCCCTCCAAGCCCCCCCCCACCTTCCCCACCTCAACCCTCCCCC